ATGAACGGCCGCCCGCCCCGCACCCGGGCGCTCACCATGGCTGCGCTCCGGGCCTCCTGCGGCCTCACGCGGCTCCCGGCAGCAGCGCTTGCCGAGCCGCTAAAGTCCCGCGACCCCGGACTCCCTCAGCGGACCGGACGTCGCGGGCGAGGGCAGTGCCAGAAAGAAAGATGGCGGACGAGGAACTTCCGCTCCGTTCTCTAGCGCTCCAGATCAAGCAAGTTGTACCGGATCGCCACTTTTTACCTCGGAATCGCTGGACAACTACGACCTGACTCTGTTACTGGGTTTGGAGGTCATGGAAAAAAAAAGAAGCTTAACAGCTCGAGACTCCATAAATAGACAGGACAAGGCCGCAACAATGGCGGCACCAGAAAGAAAGATGGCGAGTGATGCTCTTCCGTTTCGCTCACCGGGGACCTCGATAAGACAGCTCATACTGGACGCGTCAGCTGCCCTCATGATTACTCCGGGGGTCAGTGTCACACCGTGCGGTTGAACAATCCGGGACTCCCTGAGCTACTAGGACAGTTTCACGACTATGGCGACACGAGATTGAAAGATAGCAGATGAGGAAAGTCCCACTGGTGCTCTTGATTCATACACTGAGCCTTTGTGACAGAATAAGGGATGCCTACCTGACAAGCTGGAACAAAATCCCTCGTTCCAGCCACAGTCGTTCTCAGCCCAGTATACTCTTGGTGGGAACCAGCTGACCTTGGATATAATTGCATTTGTGCAGAATTTGCCTCTGACTTTGCCCAAGGGCCACCTGCTGCGTTTCTACATTCTGCACTTCTCCCACTTTGGAAATGAAATTGCCAGTTTGTTAAGTGAATTACAAGGTTAGTGTTCCATGGAGACAATCCACGTGTTCAGAGAAGAGGTTGGCTAGCTCAGAACACAGTTTAACAGGGACAGCCTCATGCCAGCCATTCTTGAGCAATTTGGAATGAGGCAATTTGTTTCACAGCCAAGACTTTCTCAAAACTTTTCATTTTATCCATTTGCATTAAAAGATGAACATGCCAACAAGAGAATTTAAGCATTCAATGCATATGGAAACTAGAGTAATATGCTAGCAGTATTCCACAGAGGGAAGAAAAACATTTGAGTTCTTTTTTTAATTTTTATTTATTTATTAAAAATTTCCACCTCTTCCCCGCCTCCCTTTTCCCTCCCCCTTCCCATCTCCCCCTCCCCAACACTTCCTCCCTCTCTAGTCTTAAGAGCAGTCAGGGTTCCCTGCCCTGTAGGAAGTCCAAGGTCCTCCCCATCCATACAGGTCTTTAAAGGTGAACATCCAAACAAACCAGGCTCCCACAAAGTTAGTCCATGCAGTAGAATTAAATCCCAATGCCATTGTCCTTGGCTTCTCAATCAGCCTTCATTGCCAGCCACGTTCAGAGTGTCTATTTTGATCACATGCTCCATTGCTCCCAGTCCAGCTGGCCTTGGTGAGCTCCCTTAGATCAGTCCCACCGTCTCAGTGGGTGGACACACCCCTTGTGATCCTGGCTTCCTTGCTCACGTTCTCCCTCTTTCTGCTCCTCATTTGGACCTAGGGAGCTAAGTCCAGTGCTGGATAGCACTGTCTCTATCTCCATTCATCGCCAGATAAAGGTTCTATGGTGATATGCAAAATATTCATCAGTATAGTTATGGGACGAAGCCAGTTCATGCACCCTCTCCTCTGCTGCCCAGGGAACAATCTGGGGATCTCTCCTTGGACCTGGGACCCCCTCTAGAATCAAGTCTCTTACAAACCCTAAAATGGCTCCCTTAGTTGAGATACATACTTCCCTGCTCCCATATCCATCCTTCCTCCCTCCCCCCATCCCATTCCCCCAAGCTTTCCCGAATCCTCCCCTTCTCCCTTCTCTCTACCCAACTCCCCTTACATCCACCCCCCAACCAGCCACCCCCCAGCCCCCGTGCCCCCAAGTTTGCCTGGCAATCTTGTCTACTTCCAATATCCAGGAGGATAACTATATGATTTTCTTCAGGTTCACTTTCTTATTTAGCTTCTCTAGGATCACAAATTATAGGCTCAAAGACCTTTAATTATGGCTAGAATCCACTTATGAGTGAGTACATACCATATTCCTCTTTTTGGGTCTGGGTTACCTCACTCAGTAAAGCGTTTTCTATTTTCATCCATTTGCATGCAAAATTCAAGATGTCATTGTTTTTTTACCGCTGAGTAAAACTCTAATGTGTATATGTTCCACACCTTCTTTTACCATTCTTCTATTGAGGGGCATCTAGGTTGTTTCCATGTTCTGGCTATTACAAATAGTGCTGCTATGAACATAGTTGAACAAATGCGTTTGTAGTAAGATATGGCATCTTCTTGGGTACGTTCCCAAGAGTGGAATTGCTGGGTCCTGAGGTAGGTTGACTCCCAGTTTCCTGAGAAACCACCACACTGATTTCCACAGTGGCTGCACAAGTTTGCATTCCCACCAACAATGGATGAGTGTCCCCCTCACTTCACATCCTCTCCAGCATAGGCTATCATTGGTGTTTTTGAGTTTAGCTATTCTGACATGTATAAGATGGTATCTCAAAGTTGTTTTGATTTGCATTTCCCTGATCGCTAAGGAGGTTGAGCATGACCTTAAGTATCTTTTGGCCTTTCGAAGTTCTTCTGTTGAGAATTCTCTGTTCTGTTCAGTACCCCAGTTTTAAATTGGGTTAATTAGAGTTTTAGTGTCTAGTTTCTTGAGTTCTTTGTATATTTTGGAGATCAGACCTTTGTCTGTTGAGGGGTTGATGAAGATCTTCTCCCAGTCAGAAGGTAGCTTTTTTGCCTTACTGACAGTGTCCTTTGCTTTACAGAAGCTTCTCAGTTTCAGGAGGTTCCATTTATTCATTGTTTCTCTTATTGTCTGTGCTACTGGGGTTCTACCTAGGAAGTGGTCTCCTATGCCCATGTCTTGTAGACTACTTCCCACTTTCTCTTCTAACAGGTTCAATGTGGTCAGATTAATATTGAGGTCTTTAATCCATTTGGACTTGAGTTTTGTGCATGGTGATAGATACGGATCTACTTTCATTCTTTTACAGGTTGACCTCCAGTTATGCCAGCACCATTTCTTAAAGATGCTTTCCTTATTCCATTGTATACGTTTAGCTCCCTTGTCGAAAATCAGGTGTTCATAAGTTTGTGGGTTAATGTACAGGTCTTCTATTCGATTCCATAGGTCGACTTCTCTGTTCTTATGCCAATACCAAGCTGTTTTCAATACCGTAGCTCTGTAATAGAGTTTGAAGTCAGGGATGGTAATGCCTCCAGAAGTTCCTTTATTGTATAAGATTGTTTTGGCTATTCTGAGTTTTTTGTTTTGCCATATAAACTTGATTATTGTTCTCTCAAGGTCTGTGAAGAAGTTTGATGGGATTTTGATGGGGATTGCATTGAATCTATAGATTGCTTTTGGTAGAATTGCCATTTTTACTATGTTGATCCTCCCAATCCAAGAGCAAGGGAGATCTTTCCATTTTCTGGTATCCTCCTCAATTTCTTTCTTCAAAGACTTAAAGTTCTTGTCAAATAGGTCTTTCATTTCCTTGGTTAGAGTAACCCCAAGATATTTTATGCTATTTGTGGCTATCGTGAAAGGTGAAGATTCTCTGATTTCCCTCTCTGCTTCTTTATCTTTTGTGTATAGGAGGGCAACCGATTTTTTGGACTTGATCTTGTATCGTGCCACATTACTAAAGATGTTTATCAGCTGTAGGAGTTCTTTGGTAGAGTTTTTGGGGTCGCTTATGTACACTATCATATCATCTGCAAATAATGAAAGTTTAACTTCATCCTTTCCGGTTTGAATCCCCTTGATCCCCTTATGTTGTCTTATTGCTATTGCTAGATCTTCAAGCACTATATTGAAGAGGTATGGAGAGAGTGGACAGCCTTGTCGTGTTCCTGATTTTAGTGGAAAGGCTCTGAGTTTCTCTCCATTCAATTTGATGTTAGCTCTCGGCTTGATGTATATAGCTTTTATTATATATCGGTATGGTCCTTGTATCCCCAGTCGCTCCAACACCTTTATCATAAATGGGAGTTGAATTTTGTCAAATGCTTTTTCAGCATCCAATGAAATGATCATATGGATTTTTTCTTTCAGTTTATTTATATGATGGATTACATTGATAGATTTGCGTATGTTGAACCAGCCCTGCATCTCTGTGATGAAGCCTACTTGATCATAATGGATAATTTTTCTAATGTGTTCTTGGATTCGGTTTGCCAGTATTTTGTTGAGAATTCTTGCGTCGATGTTCATGAGTGAGACTGGCCTATGAATCTCTTTCTTGGTTGTGTCTTTGTGTGATTTTGATATCAGGGTAACTGTAGCTTCATAAAAAGAGTTTGGCAATGACTCTTCTATTTCTGTTTTGTGAAATACATTTAGTATAGGTATTAGCTCTTCCTGGAAGTTCTGGTAGAATTCTGCATTGAAACCATCTGGTCCTGGGCTTTTTTTGGTAGGGAGATTTTTGATAACAGCTTCTAATTCTTCGCGACTAACAGGTCTATTTAGATTGTTCACCTGGTCTTGGTTCAACTTTGGTATATGGTACTTATCTAAAAATATGTCCATTTCTTTTACATTTTCCTATTTTGTGGCATACAGGCTTTTGTAGTAAGACCAAATGATTCTCTGAATTTCATCAGTGCCTGTGGTTATGTCCCCCGTTTCATTTCTGATCTTGTTCATTTTCGTGTTCTCTCTCTGCCGTTTGATTAGTTTGAATAGGGGTTTGTCAATCTTGTTGATTTTCTCCAAGAACCAGCTTTTTGTTTCATTGATTCTTTGTATTGTTTTCTGTGTTTCTATTTTGTTCATTTTAGCCCTCAGTCTGATTATTTCCAGTCTTCTATTCCTCCTGGGTAAATCTGCTTCTTTTTTTTCTAGAGCTTTCAGGTGTGCTGTTAAGTCTCCAATGTGTGCTTTCTCCATTTTCTTTAATTGGGCACTTAGTGCTATGAACTTTCCTCTTAGCACTGCTTTCATAGTGTCCCGTATGTTTGAGTATGTTGTATCTTTATTTTCATTAAATTCAAGGAAGACTTTAATTTCTTTTTTTACTTCTTCCTTGACCCAGGGGTGATTCAGTAGTTTACTGTTCAGTTTCCATGAGTTTGTTGGCTTCCTGGGGGTAGCATTGTTGTTGAATTCTACCTTTAATCCATGGTGATCTGACAGGACACAGGTGGTCACTAATATTTTTTTGTATCTGTTGAAGTTTTCTTTGTTACTGAGTATGTGGTCAATTTTCGAGGAGACTCAATGAGCTGCAGAGAAGAAGGTATATTCTTTCCTATTTGGGTGGAATGTTCCATAGATGTCTGTTAAGTCCATTTGATTCAATACCTCCAATAATTCTCTTATTTCTCTGCTAGGTTTCTGTCTGATTGACCTGTCCATTGGTGAAAGAGGTGTGTTGAAGTCTCCTACTATTAGTGTGTGTGGTTT